TACACATAACTTTTGCATTCGGAGATGTTCATTCCGTTGAGAGCGAATGGAATGTCAGGAACAAGACTGTTTCTCACAAATATTCGTGAGATTCAGCTGTATTCCAACCTCTCCACACTCGTGGTCGGTCACAGCATTTGTGTCACTTGGCTAATGTTTGGTGTTTTGAGAATGATGTCATCAGTGAAGTGGAGGTGGTGTAGTTGCCGACCATCTATCTTCACTCCCATTCCTTCCCATTCCAGTCGTCGCATGATGTTCTCGAGGGTGGCACTGAAGAGTTTCGGTGAAATGGTATCACCCTGCCGAACCCCTCTCTTGACATGGATGATCACTTCCTTGTAGAATGGTGAGATCCTGGTAGTGAGTCCGTAATACAGTTCACAGAGGATCCTGATGTATTGAGTTTGAATGCTATTTTTGGCTAGGGCTTTGATGACCACTTTAGTCTCAACAGAATCAAAGGCCTTCTTTAAATCAATGAACATTAAACAGAGTGACATCTTGAACTCCCGAGAAACCTCAATGAGCTTGGTTATCATAGGGATATGGTATATTGTGCTGAATCCTTTTCAGAACCCGGCTTGCTCTCATGGTTGTCCTTCATCTAGTGTTCTGCCAATTCTTTTCAGGATTACTTAAGTGAACAGCTTGTAGATGACAGACAGCAGGCAGATCGGGCAATAGTTGTCGATGTCGTGGATGTCTCCCTTCTTGTACAGTAAGTAGTACAGTCCTGCTGGTTTTCCACTGGGACAAAATGTTGCATTCAGACAGGTAGCGTGTGAAGAGCCGAGCCAGTGTTTTGATGAGTACTGATGGCAGATTCTTCATGTGTTCAGGTCTGACCTTCTCTGGACCGGGTGCTGTTCGCTTCTTTACCGACGAAATGGCGTGTCGGATTTTGGAAGGGAGAACTTTGGGAACGACATATCCATTCTGCAGAATTTGTTATGTGGGCAGGTGTATGTGGCTAGAAGTAGAAGTCATGGATAATCTTCTCCCTTGCCCTTCTGGAAGATGTGATAGATCCATCAGGATGTCGGAGGGCAGTCATCTTGGTCTTGTAGTTGGCGAAGGATAGGCCAATGTTGCGAATGCTTTTCCTGGCTTCTGCCACATCTGCCAGCACTGCTGCTCTTCTCTCTTTGAGATGTTCCTTTATCGCTTCTTTGCACTGCTTTGAAGCTCGAACATTCGCTTGCATTTGCCTGAGGCATGCACCAAGTCACATTGGCGAATGAGCTCAAGAGTTTTCGAAGACAGTTGTCTTTTTGTGGTTATCTCTCTCGGCATTCCTCGCACAATCATGGAGGTGCTGAACCAGTCCATCATATTCCTTGTCAATGTTGTCAACGATGGCATCTTCCCATGTTGCCGCAGTAGTGCCAAAGATCTCCCAGTCGGTGGTCATTCTGGGAGTTCTCTCCTTAAACTTTGCAGCCCTTTCTCCCCGCTCCGTGAAGTAGAATTTTGCACGAAGGAGACGGTGATCTGATCCCATTTTGAATTTTTTGACAACAGCAACATTGGTCAGGAAAAACTGTCAATTGAGTATGATGTGGTCAGTTTCATTGTGGAACTGTCCACTGGGAGACTCCCATGTCCAACATTTAGATTCGGCCTTCTAGAACTGTGAGTTATCATGGATGGTCTTGGTCAACATGATGAACTCAGACAGTCTCTCACCCTGTTCATTCCATTCTAGGCCATGGGTCCCGATGTGGAGTTCTTCGGCTGATCTTCTCGGTCCTATCTTGACATTAAAATCACTGACAATGATCTTGTAGAAGGTCATATAACTTGTAAATTGCAGTAAAAAGGAAAAGCACGAAAGTACTGCTGATTAGTTGATTGCATTCCTTGCGGTTGATCCCCAGCAGCCCATTTATTACTCCAAACCTCACCAGGAGGGATCTCTGAGAGCATTCAGAAATAAATCCTGAGCTCTGCCAGGTGTGGTCCAAAAACCACATACAGTTTTTGGATTTGGAGCCAAACCCAGTGGTGCTTAGAGGGCTTTAGTTCTGGCTCTGATCTCTGGGATTGCTTCTGGCAGGGTACAGGGGACCATATATGGGATGCTAGGGATCGAACCTGCGTCAGTCACATGAAAACCAAGCATCTTACCCTCTGTACTATAGCTTCAGACCCCAAATAATTGCAGTTTCTAAGAATTTATGGGTGCTTGATTTTAAATGAGGACATGCTGTTTGGTTTGACTTAAAGGTATGATCTGAGAGAACAGAGTCATAGTACAGGGTACAGGGCATTTATTTGTCTTGCACTCACTGACGGGATTCAATAGTGGAACCCCATATTGTCCTCTGAGACCACCAGGAGTGATCCATAAGCACAGGACACAGGAGTAAGGCTGAGCACCTTTGGGTTTCAAGCCAGGGATGTAGTTCTGCGGTAGTGTACCTGTCTTGTGTATATAGAACTCTGCGTTCAGCACCACAAAAAGTAAATACATAAAGGCTACAGAGAGTCAAGAGTAAATAACTAACAGTGTAAACTAGTTTATAATTTAATGTACTTTTCTTTCTTTTTTTTTGGGGGGGGGGGATTGGGTAAACCGGTCCTTAGGAGACCCAGGGGTCCTTCCTGATGATTAGTTTAATCAATTTCAGGAGTGGACTGTGGGGTGCTGCTCCTGCCTTGCAAGGTTTGGGGTAATGAAACTATCTAGATGGCGCTCAACGTCTCTCAGAGCGTTGTCCTGCTATGGTGGAACATGTGAGATTAAGGATAAAACCAGGGTCAGCAAGGAAGTGTTTCAGCCCCTGTGTTATCTCTCGTCCCCACAAATAAGATTTTCACTACATAAGATTATCACTTTGTATTCTTTCATAGGAATCTTCCCAAAAGTTTGTTGTAATTTAGACCCTGATTTTCTTATTCATTGAGTCCTCACTTCCTGAATTGGAAGAGTAGTTAAATTATTGGGACATAATCACATAGATATATGTGTCTATGATATCGACTATGAACATGGGGAGAGGAATAGTGGAGGCTTAGAACAAAGTCACAAAATTTTTTTTGTGTGGGGTGGGCACCCAGCAATGTTTCAGGCTTACTCCTGGGCTTTGTTCTTAGAGATCACTCCTGGCAATATTTGGGGTCCATATATGGTGCCGCCTGGGATTGAACTCAAGTCTACATGTGCAATGAAAGTGCCTCAACCCATGGGACCAGAGCAATAGCACAGTGGGTAGGATCTTTTGCCTTGTTACAGCTGACCCTGATTCAATCCCCAGCATCACATATGGTCTTGAACTGGCCAGAGCATCCTTGAATCCTGGCACAGAGACAGGAGTAAGCACTGAGCACCTTTTCTATTAGTAAAACTAAGGTGAAGGAGGCCCATAGTGATTTTCACTGTTTTGCTAATAGAAAAACAACTTACATTAATAAAAAAAAAAAAGACAAACATAGGGGGCTGGAGTGAAGCACAGTGGGTATGCCTTGCACAGGCCGACCGGGTTAAATTCCCAGCATCCCATATGGTCCCCCAAGCACCTCTAGGAGTAATTTCTGAGTGCATGAGCCAGGAGTAACCCCTACACATTGCGCAGTAGCACTGTAGCACTGTCCTCCGGTTGCTCATTGATTTGCTCCAGCGGGCTCAGTAATGTTTCCATTGTGAGACTTGTTACTGTGTTTGGCTTATGGAATACATCAGAGTATCTTGCCAGCCTTTGCAGTGGGGGCGGAATACTCTTGGTAGCTCTCCAAGAGGGCAGAGGAATCGAACCGGCTTGGCTGGCCAGTCGCGTGCAAAGCAAACACCCTACCGCTGTGCTATCGCTCCCTCCCAGGCATTGCTGGGTTTGACCCAAAAAGCAAATAAATAAATAAATAAATAAATAAAACCATACAATACTGGGGGTGTATGCAAAACATGGCCTCAGCTGGTTGCTTTCTCTCCTGGCAGGCCCCATGAACTTTTTTTTGGTTCACACCAGGTGGTGCTCAGTGCTTACTTGTGGCTCTGTGCTCAGGGATCATTTCTGATGGTGCCTAGGCTGGGGTACAGCTGGTCTGACATGTGCAACACAAGTGCCCTACCTGATGTACTATGTCTCTGGTCCCAGGTCCTATAAACGTATTTAAAAATTTTTGTTTATTGGCCACAGTGCTCAAGGCTAAATGTTGGGTCCGTACTCAAGAATTACTTCTGGTGGGCTGGCGGGAGGGGGGGAGGGGAGGCGTGCAGGGGAGACCATAAGTGATGCAGGGGATGGAATTTAATTGGCCACTTATAAAGGTTTTTTCTTCATAGGGGACTAAAGCCCCCTATAAAGACCTATTTTGGGGGGTTTGGGGCTACACGTGACGATCTTCAGGGGTTACTCCTGGCAGTGCTTGGCTCGACGGACAAAAGGATGGATGAAACCCGCCTTGGCCGCGTGCACTGCAAGTGCTTTACGCCATGTACCATCTCTTCTTCAGCTCCACCCCTATAAAGTTTTTTTTTTTCCTTTTTGGGTCACATCCGTTGATGCTAAGGGGTTACTCCTGGCCCTGCACTCGGGAATTACCCCTGGCGGTGCTCAGGGGATCATATGGGATGCCGGGGATCAAACCCGTGTCGGCCGTGTGCAAGGCAACGACGTCCTACCCGCTGTGCTATCCCTCCAGCCCCTTCTATAACGTTTTTAATGAGGGAAAACTGGTTTAGGTTTTGTTTCTCCGAGCTTCTCCAACAGGACCACTTTGAGGTTCATCTAATCCTAAAAATCAAAAGCAATAACTTCCGAGGTGGGAAGAGAAGCAGTTACCAGCATCGACCCTGGCATACGGGGGCGGAGCCAGCCGGCCCTGCCACCGCGGGGCGTCTCCGCCCTTAAGGCGGGGCTCGTGCGCAAAAGGCTCACCCGCTCCGCTCGGCCCCAAACACGAGCGAATTCCGGGAGCTGCCCGAGAGCCCCAGCGCGCTTGCGCCGCCCACCGTGACGTCACGCGCCGCCCCGCCCCTTCTGGAATGCGGAGCCGCTGAGCGCGTCGGCGGCCATTTTGTGAAGCGGCGAAGGAGGTGGTGTCTGCTACCGGCTCCGGGAAGCCGTTCGGGCTGGGGCTGTCGGCCGCGGGGCGGAGGCACTCGCGCGGGGGGTAATTCAGGTCTGGGTTCGGGTGCCGCGCAGCTCTCCCCGGTAAGACTCCCGCAGCTCCCCGAACGAACGGGGCTGTGCGGGGCTCGAGCCGCCCCTTGGTGGCCCGGGGCGGGGCCTCCGGAGGCCTCGGAGCCCGTCGCGGCGAGCGCCCCGCACAAAAGGTCGGGGCTTGGCTGCGGGGGGGCCCGGGGCGCCAGTGGAGCCTCTGCACGGGGGCCGGAGCCCCATCGAGCGCTGTGGGGCCGCGGCCGTAGCCAGGACGCTGCCCTGCCGCGAGAGGGAGGAGGAGACGAGAGCTGGGCGGCCCCGTGGCCGGCGAGCCCACCGCGGTGAAAAACACACTTTCCGTCTGAGCCAAGTTTTTTTTCCCTTTTTTCTTTTATTCCCCGGGGCCGAGACGATACCCCTGTCCCAAAGTGAGGAGAGATTCGTAAAGCGGAGGTTCCCCCCCTCCCCCGCCGTATCCCCGCCCCGAAAGTGGGAAGAAGGCCCCGGGGGCCCGTGGCGGGGGAGGGGAGTAAAATAAAAGGATTGGGGGCTGGGGGAACCTCCTCAGGGGGAGGAGGCCGTGCCCAGGGCATCCCTGCGGGGAGGAAGGCTCGAGAAACGCGCGCGTGGCCTCCAGGCGGAGGGCTCGGCTCTCGGGCGTCCGCTGCCCGGCGTGCGGAAGGGGCAGTTTGAGAGAAACCGACCCGGGAAACGGGCCGAGGGCGCCTCCCGGCCTCCTGGCGTGTAGGAGGCGGCCCACGCTCGGTCCCAGGTGTCCGAGATGCGTGGTCTTCCCTCGAGGGACAGTGCCTCCAGCCCTCGTGGAGCCGGAGGTTCAGTGGGGGGAGGGGGCGGGGGTGGGGCCGCTAGTGATGGATGGAGCCCGAGCGTGGAGTGTGTCCATCCCGCTCAGACGAGGCCGGAGCGCCTTGTTACCCGCCACGTGCGGCGGGCCGGGAGGGGCTTTACTGGTCCTGGACCGGCGCGCACCCCCGAGGTTTAGCTGCTAGAACGTCTGAGCGTTTCGCGTGCCGCCTCGGTGGCCTGGCTTGTGCAAAGTCGGGGGGCGGGGCGGGGAGCTTCCTGTAAGCTTCGTACTGGGTAATTAACGTTTGCTGTGTTTTTCGGAACTCTCTAGTCGTAACTGGGCTTCCGGCTCTCCCCTCCCTTACCCCCCTCCCCCCCCCCCCCCCCCCGACCATTTGATCTAAAAAGCGGGTGGTTGGCAGGAGCCATTCTATATTCGAGTTGTTTATAATTTGTCAGTCAAATATCGAATTGGGAAGGAAAAAAAAAGGATTGAAGTGTTGAAGGAAATTTGTGACTGGAGTATTTTTCTCTTGGAGAGTTGGGTTTTTTTTTTTGGTCTTTGCTTTTGTGAAATTGAATAGGAAGTTGAATTGTCATTGTCTTCGGATATTATCTGTTATTTAGTGTATTGCAGAACCTGTGCAGTTCTTTTTTTAAAAAAAAAACCTTCAGGTCTGGACACACGGGCTGATTTTTGTTACATTTGTTTCTTTTCTGGGAATACGCAGAACTGGTTGGTTGGCACTTGTTTTTGAGATTTGCTGATTTTTACAGAGTGGAGGATTTCTGGACCAAGTGGGAAGTAATTTGGAAGAGCTGTTACAATTGCTTCAAATATTTTATGGTAATTTTTGAGGACAATGAAATGTTTGGCTTATGTAAAAAAGTTCATTACTGGAAATTTCATTAAAACGGAATGCATCTTTGTTTAAAGCGATTATTATTCGTGGGTTCTAAATGCATAATTTCAGTCTTATGATTTATGTTAGGTAAGAAAATTGGACACATTTTAGAAATGTAGTTACTTGGAACATAATTGTTTTGTGTTTAATACCAGTGCACTTAAGGCTTTTTCTTTTTGACATGTCAAACTCTTTGTTGCATATTGAGTTGGGGATTGATGTGAAACTTGTAGATGTGAAACATGGTTTTGTGGGAGTATATTTCAGGTGCTGGAATCCATTGACAGTTCATTACTTTTTTTTATTCCATTTTGTAGAAACAGTTCCGTTATTTGGTTTAGATAATGTGTGTCGTCCATATCCTCCCCGCCCCATAGAGGAAGAATTTAAGTTTCAGTAATTGGTGGTTTAAAGATGCTTTTAGGTACTGCCTCCTAAAATGTAGGTGCTGTTGTTTGGTATCTCTTCGCCTTACCCCCAAGTGCTCAATAAATTATCTGTGGAGTAACTAATGTAAAATGTTTGAGGTCAACTAAGGGTAACAGTCAGCTAATAGTTCTATAAGATTTTACTGTTCTTTAGGCATATGGGCCGTAGCAGTAATGATCAGTTCTGTATTGTTTAAATCCAGCCTCTAAGATGAGTATTGGGAGTATTAAACTTTTAGGTAGGCTAAATTAGAAATAATATCATTGCTTTGAAGTTGAGTGGCCAATTGAAGACTTTTGTTGGGGGGGCGTGAAAATAACAATTACCGTCTTGGCAGATGAGTTATAAGTAACATAATTAAAAATGTATTTTGGGTTTCTGCCTATTAGTATTTGATAAGTTCATTGGGAAAGTTGAGTTACAAAAGGACACATCTGAGTGTCATAATTTTTTCATTAAAAATGATCTAAGAATCTGAAATGTGATCCACTTGGATGGGAACAGAATCAAGTGAATGAAATTGTGTGGGTCGTCCCCCCCATGCCTACCAGAATGTGATTATAATGTTTCTTATTGCTTTGTTCATTATTGCATCATAATTTGTTATCTCTGAGGTAGACCTTTGAGGGATGCTTTCTTATGAATTTGAAGATCCTAGTTCTGTACCTTGATTCTTGTTTGTTAAAGACTGATTGCTGAACACAGTTGAAATCATTTTTGGATGTTTAGTCTTGATTGAGTGGAAATGGTTAAATTTTAGTTTGAGCATTGACTTTTTGGTAAAAAATATTGTCAGACATTTTATTCTGAAGTTCTGATTGAAAATGGTTAGTATATAGATCATTTAACTTGTAAATAGGAAAAAGAACCTGACATAATCTGTTATTTACTTTCATATCTGTTTTTTGTAAAGCTCTAGCCACTTCAGGGTCTGATTTCTCCATTTAAAGTAGAAAAAATACACTCTAATGCAAGCTTCTTAATTCAGAATTTCGAAAAGGCAAATCAAATTCATTTCCTTCTTCCCTATTCTCATGTTACATGTGTAGGTAAATACGCATTGGTGATGTTTTGTTGTGTGCCAATATTTTAATCAAGCTTAAGGTGATTTCATTTTGATATCCTGTATCTGTTCGCTCGCTAGCCTGCATTTACAACACAGGAATAGATACTGGAAAACAGGGAGCATCTCTTAAATTACTGTGTTTTTTTTTTTTTCCCAAAGCGAGGCCTTGAATTCTGGAGTAATTAATTTAGTACTGAGTTTCTGTTTACTTTGCCCATTTGAAAGGAAGTATAAATGCCAAGAACTGCGAAGCTCTGCGTTCTGGCCTAGACTTTAGGCATTTTCAGTGTGGGAGAGATTGGGTTTCCCCTTTTCTGAAATAGAAAAATTAGTTTATGTCTAGATTATTTTTGTTTTTTTAAATTGAACATTTAGACTTGTTAAGCATTAGTCAAATTCAGCTGGGTCTTTCAAATCTCCCTTTTTGGTGTGAGATGCTTTCTTCATGATAAAGTCATTTCTGGCAACCTTGTAGAAATTTTTTGAGAGTAGAATTTTTGAATTCCCTGTCTGGAACTTGTTAATAGATGGATGTTCGATTTGAACTTTCAGTGGGGGGGGGGGGAGAGGGTGAAGAACTTACCTTTTTAAGGCACTTGTCCTGGTTCCACACCAGACCTTTGGAATTGTAATCTCTTCTAGGTGATGAACTATCAGAAATGCTTATCTAGTAAATTATAGTTTTGGGGACCAGAGCATTAGCATTACAGTGGGTAGGGCATTTGCCTCACAAGAGGCCAATCTGGGTTCTATCCCCAGCATCACCAGAAGTAATGTAATTCCTGAGTGCAAAGCCAGGACTAAGCCCATCACCAATATGGTCCCATCCCCCCAACCCCGATATATATATATTTATTTTCATTAAGCATTAGTCTTAACCTAAGGTGACTTTTTCTCTTTCTCGTATTTCTCTTTGGTAACCCATTAGATTGTAGTGTAGATTTTAAATGAAGTTTTAAGAGGCCGGAGTCATAGTACAGCGGATAGCGCCTTTGCTTTGTACCTGACATCCTATATGACCCCCAAGCACTGCTAGGAGTAATTCCTGAGGGCAGAGCAGAAGTAACCCCTGAGCAACGCCACTGGTGTCACAGGTTCATACAATACACATAAGATCAATTAAATGATCTGGGCTCTTGAAAACATGACATTTGCATACTTTAATGGCAGAACAGTCTCATTGTTTATTAATAATTTGAGTAGTTGCCTGGAATTGTCCTTTGGAACTGTTTTGAATGACTTTAAAAAAATATGTTTGGAGCTAGCAAAGCAATAGTTCAGTAGGTAGGATGCTTGCCTTGCATGTGGTTGACCTAGGTTTTTCCCTGGCACCACATAATGTATCCCAGAGCCTTGTTAGGAGTAATCCCTGAGCACAGAGCCAAGAATAAATCATGAGCACTGCCTCTGTGGTTCAGAAAACAGAAATAATAAGTTTTGAAAAGATTAAATGGGCTGAAGAGATAGTACAACAGGTAGGGTACTTACTGAGTGCAGGGTTTACTCAGGTTTGGTCCCTGGCATCATATATGGTCCCACAGCCTCACCCGATTGATAACTGAGCACAGAACCAGGAGTAAGCCCTGAGCACTGCTGGGTGTGACTCCTCCAAAGAATATTAAAAGTGAACATAATGGGGTTGGAGAGATAAGTAGTAAGGTGCCTTGCATGTAGCCAACCTGGGTTTGTTCCCCAGCCCCTGAGCATAGAGCTGAGGAGTAATTCTTGAACCCAGCTGAATATGGCTCGTTTTGCCCCTATTCTCTTACCCTCTTACCCCCTCTCCCCACGTAAAAATATTCTGGAGCTGGGGTGTTATAGTTCAGGAGGTATGATGTTTGCCTTGCTTCTACACAGTAGGGTCCCCAGCACAGAGGCAGACAGAAGGGAATAGCTCCTGAGCTTTGCAGAACATCACCTGGAGCTGCCACCATCATCAGTCCTTATACTCCTTATACTTAATTCTTATACTGTTCCTCTGAATTAGACTTTTAAGATATAGTTACCTAATTAACATTAGTCATATATGTTGCTTGTGAATTGTTTGTAATTTCACTAGTTAGGGAGAAATGAGTAACAGATGAGTAACCTGTTTTTACTTTGAGAAATACTTAGAATATGAGACATTTTAAGAGTTATAAATTCTTACATATTTTTTGAAACTGTTCTTGGTGTTACAAGAAAAAATATTTTTCTTAATACTTTGAGCCCTATTGATTTTAAGTAGGATTACATTACATTATTACATTAAGTAGGATTATCATTACATCCATAAGTTTTTCTTTTTTTTTTTTTAATGGTTTCCATTTGGGTGCATTGAAAGAATAATTGCAATAGTATTCATCACTGTCTCTGTCACTGTCCTCCCGTTGTTCATCAGTTTGCTCGAGTGGGCGCAGTAACGTCTCCATTTTGACACTTGTTGTCACTGTGTTTGGCATGTTGAATACCTTACGGGGAGCTTGCCAGGCTTTGCTGTGCGGGCTCGGTAGCTTGCCGGGCTCTCTGAGAGGGGGGGAGGAATCGAACCTGGCTCGGCCGGGTGGCTGCACACAAGGCAAACTCCCTACCACTGTGCTGTTGGCTCCAGCCCATAGTATTCATAGTTACCCTTAAATTTATTGCGTAGTTTGTTCAGGGCTACTCCTTTGTGAACTTGTTCTTTTTCATAAAAGGGTGGCAGCCTGAGAAACTAGGTAACAGCGAACTTGAGTTAGGAATTTCTCTGCACTGGTTCAACCATCAAGTGAAAAAAAAAAGTGCTGTGAAGTTGAGCTTTATGACTGGGTTTTGAATTGATATTCATGGACTATTGTATGACACTTTTGATGTGAAACTAAAAATAATGTCTTGAGAAACTCCAATTTTGAAAGCAACACTTATAAACACGTAGGAATTTTTTACGTCTTTAATTTTTTTTAATGCATTCTAATGATTGTGGTGGTTTCTGACTCGCCTTCATAATGTACAGTTCAGTGTGGCCTATGCGTGTTATTTTATGTATCCTGCATTGATTTTTGCCTCCATTTATTCTCTATTGCAGTCTAAAAGTTGGTTTTAATTGGTTGCCCACAGGATTGACTTGGCCTCTACTTCTTGTTAAGAAAATACATCTCTTGTTTTATCAGGTAAGAGATTTTGAATAGAGGGTTTGTTTCAAACAAAATGAGATAGTTTAAGTATGGTGAAAATACATGTAATTAAATTCTCATTTTTGTTATTTTTAACATGTTTATCTGAGGGATGGGGCGGGTGAATGGGAGCCTTGAACAGTTGTTGCTTTCTTTGGGATGCAGTTTTCTATAGATACATATTTTCTGCTGTGTTCCTTCCTAATTGCTAGGCAGTAAGCTGTTTTTTTTTTTTCCCTCAGCATTCTAGACTAGTTAATTACAGATGCTTGTTATTGGTATGATTTTCAATAATTCTTAGAGGTATAGATAAAGATAATGGATCATATTTTAGAGTACAGTTTTGACTTCAGGTGGAACCTATATAGTGATTGGAGTCGGTTACAGTTGCAGTAACTCAGGTAGTCTTAATTTTAAAATGCGTTCAGAAACATGGCACAGGTTATGCTGTCGAATATAACTGATCTTGTTTTTTTTTTCCAGAACCTAAAATCTTTCCCTTTAGATGGGTCTAGGTGTAAATCTTGTGCAGTAGTGCAGTAGTTTGGTTTAATTAATCCTCAGCCTCTTTATAGTCTGGTTCCTGGGCATATTTTCAGTTTTACCGTATGTGATTTATTACATAGCCTATCACTCAATCCCATTTCTTAGCAAACGACTTGAAGGTTTAGTGTGTCGGTCTTGTTAGCCCTTTGAATTTTGCGTTCCTAGGACCATGTCATGTTCTCATTATTTTGTCCCTATGCAGACTAGTAATATAAAGTTGTTTTGGGTACCTAGATTTTTTGTCCATGATGTTCTTGATATATAATGATTAAACATTTTTTGAAGTTTAATAGGAATGTTATTTTAATTTTCATATGACTAGGATCCTAGCTAGAGTAAGGAATAAGAACTTTGTTTAATAATTTCTTGATGAGCTCAGTAGTAAATAAGAAAGAAAAGAGTGTCAGTGTGATGTTTCATTAATGTTAATTTTTCTTGTTGACTCTTGCATACTAAAAATGATGGGCTTTCCTCACCCCCAAATTTATAATGGTCTCACAAAAGAACATTTTCTGCATGTAAGCCCATTTCTCTGGATTAAATTTGAAAATGGCTTTTATCTTTGTCAGTGTGTGTATGTGTGTGAAAGCTGTCAAAGCCAAACAAAATACTTCCTTAGTGGGGCTCTTGCACACAACTAACACAAGATTTGATCCATGACATCCCTTATGGACCCCTGAGCACCTCTAGGAGTAATTCCTGAGTGTAGAGCCAGGAGTAATCATGAAGCATCTTTCCAGGTGTGGCCCAGGAATAAAAACAAAACAACAAAACTTCCTTGGTGTATAGCAGTCTAATATTGACCTACTGCCTGCTTGTGCATTAATTAATATTTAGTGCTTGATATTGAAAAAGTGCTTTCAGGGGCTGGAGTGATAGTATAGCGGGTAAGGCATTTACCCTGCTTGCAGACAACCTGGGTTTGGTTACTGGCATTCTATATGGTACCCCAAATACCACCAGGAATGCAGAGCCAGGAGTAACCTTGTGAACCCCTCCCCCCAAAAGAAGTGCTTTCATGAATTTGTAAAATTTAGGTTTGGGGGCCACACCCAGCGGTGCGTGGGTCAACTATATTCAAGGGAAATGCTCTACTCACTGTACTATTGTTTTGGCCCCAAAATTATAAAATTTAAAAGATTATGGGTGTGCTCTTTAATTCTTTCATTCATTCTTTAGGGGCGGGGCGACACCTGATGCTCGGGTTACTCCTGGCAGTACTCAGAATGTTCAATGCTAGAGATCAAACACAGGTAGCTGCATGCAAGGCAAGCGCCCTACCCAGTATACCATTTCTTGAGCCCCAAAACTTTGAATAAAGATTTAAATCCAAGTTTACAGCAAAAAGCCTCACTCTTTCTAATCTAAAGTGCAAATTTTGGTTTGGGGGCCAAATCTAGTGAGATACCAGGGGTTACTCCTGGCTCTGCACTCAGGAATTACCCAGGTGGTGCTCAGGGGACCATATGGTCAGGCTGAGGATTGAACCTGGGCAGGCTGTGTGTGCAAGGTGCTTGTACTGTCATCACTCTGGCCCCTAGAGGGCAAGTAATTCTTTAATTACTTTAAAGTCAGTTTGATGTTTCAGACGATTTGAAAAATAACCCTATGCTTTTGACTATATATATTTCAAATTGGTATTCTTCTAGTTCCAAAAATTTGTCTTACTTTACAATGGACTGCCTTGTATTTACTGTTAGAAGCCATTAGAACTGAATTTTTACTTATATCTGAGAGAAATTGGCCATTAATTAAGGAGATCAATTAGTAAATATCAGTGCCCAGAAGTTCCACAGGACTTATGTCGTATCAGAGACTATAAAAATTTTGAATAAACTTTTTATATATAATTTTTTTTAAGTTCATATTTTATAGAACTGCATTCTACCCCCCAAAACCCCACCAGGAGTAATTCCTTAGTGTAGAGCCAGGAGTAAACTGTGAGCACTACCAGGTGTGCCCTTCCCCCCAAGAAAGTAAAAACAAACTTCATGTTTTAATTCTAAAATTAATGCAAAAATCCTTTCTCTTTCCTTCCCCATCCCTTAGTTTGATTTTCATTGATCAACCTTCCCCTCTAGAAAAAAAATCTGCTTTTTTTAGAATAGAATTTGTGACCTGAGTTTTAAATAAAACAGATATGGTGAATGGCACTATAACCAGGTTGTACTTTAGAGTGACTAGTAGAGCTAACTAAAATTTTGGTTATTTTTCCCAGTGATGCTTTTGAATTCTTAATATGTATTAAATCTTGTTAGTAATGAATATGTAGATATTTTATTCCTTTTAAATGTTTCTTAATCAGCTTGTAAGGCAGATTAAAGAGTTATGGGATAAAAAATTAGTATTAAGTATTTGCAACTCATTTGTATTTCAGTTTTCTATTTCTTTTGAATTTTGGGGATTGAGCCATGTAACATAACAATTCTATGAAGTTGAGAAGTTTATAGGGATGATAAGTTTAAAATAACAACTTTGATGCATTCTTTATTTTTCCCTTATAGGTTGTTAAAATTTGCTTCCTGATTGGCCTTACACATTTCTTTATGTATTAGTGATTATTTATAGTTGTCTAAAAAGATTTAATTGTTGATTTCTATGGATTTTTTTGGTGGAGTTTATTTTTGAGTCTCGGAACTGAACTAGTTGTTTTCAGAATGAATACCTTTTGGAAGTTGAAATTATCTAGGTTTTACATGTAAATGGCATGTGATGTTGTCTTTAGAATATCCAAAATTTAAAATTACAGTGCTTGTGATTCAGGGAATAATTGAGGGCTGGTCATTCTTGTAGCTAAAAATTTGGTGTAATAAACAGGAGTCTGACTTGGCCGTTGCCTTTTCTCATCTGCAGGTGTTTGTGCTTTCAGCGCAGCATGGCTGTGGTCATCCGCTTGCAAGGTCTCCCAATTGTGGCGGGGACCATGGACATTCGCCACTTCTTCTCTGGATTGACCATCCCTGATGGGGGCGTGCATATTGTAGGGGGTGAACTGGGTGAGGCTTTCATCGTTTTTGCCACTGATGAAGATGCAAGGCTTGGTATGATGCGCACAGGTGGTACAATTAAAGGGTCAAAAGTAACACTGTTGTTGAGTAGTAAAACGGAAATGCAGAATATGATTGAACTGAGTCGTAGGCGGTTTGAAACTGCCAACTTAGATATACCACCAGCAAATTCTAGTAGATCAGGACCGCCTCCTAGCTCAGGAATGAGTGGCAGGGTAAACTTACCTACAACAGTGCCCAACTTTAATAATCCTTCACCCACTGTAGTTACTGCTGCTACTTCTGTTCATGAAAGCAACAAAAATATACAGACATTTTCCACAGCCAGCATAGGAACGGCTCCTCCAAATATGGGGGCCTCCTTTGGGAGCCCAACGTTTAGCTCAACTATACCAAGCACAGCCTCTCCAATGAACACAGTCCCACCACCACCAATTCCTCCAATCCCAGCGATGCCATCTATGCCACCAATGCCGTCTATTCCCCCAATACCAGTTCCTCCTCCAGTACCTACATTGCCTCCTGTGCCTCCTGTGCCCCCAATGCCCCCAGTACCTTCTGTGCCACCCATGACCCCATTGCCACCCATGTCAGGTATGCCACCCTTGAACCCTCCACCTGTGGCACCGCTACCTGCTGGAATGAATGGCTCTGGAGCACCTATGAATCTGAACAATAACTTGAACCCTGTGTTTCTGGGTCCATTGAATCCTGTTAACCCTATCCAGATGAACTCTCAAAGCGGAGTGAAACCACTTCCCATCAATCCTGATGATCTTTATGTTAGTGTACATGGAATGCCCTTTTCTGCAATGGAAAATGATGTCAGAGATTTTTTTCATGGGCTCCGTGTTGATGCAGTGCACTTGTTGAAAGATCATGTGGGTCGAAATAATGGGAATGGATTGGTTAAGTTCCTCTCCCCTCAAGATACCTTTGAAGCTTTGAAAAGAAACAGAATGCTGATGATTCAACGTTATGTGGAAGTTAGCCCTGCCACAGAGAGACAGTGGGTAGCTGCTGGAGGCCATATCACTTTTAAGCAAAGTATGGGACCTTCTGGACAAACCCATCCCCCTCCTCAGACAGTTCCCAGATCAAAATCGCCCAGTGGGCAGAAAAGATCAAGGTCAAGATCACCACATGAGGCTGGTTTTTGTGTTTATTTGAAAGGGCTGCCATTTGAAGCAGAAAACAAACATGTCATTGATTTTTTTAAGAAGTTGGATATTGTGGAAGATAGTATTTATATTGCTTATGGACCCAATGGGAAAGCAACTGGTGAAGGCTTCGTAGAGTTCAGGAATGAGGCTGACTATAAGGCTGCTCTATGTCGACATAAACAATATATGGGCAGTCGTTTTATTCAAGTTCATCCAATAACTAAGAAGGGCATGCTAGAAAAGATAGATATGATTCGAAAAAGACTGCAGAACTTCAGCTATGACCAGAGGGAAATGATGTTGAATCCAGAGGGTGATGTCAGCTCTGCCAAAGTCTGTGCCCACATTACAAATATTCCATTCAGCATTACCAAGATGGATGTTCTTCAGTTCCTAGAAGGAATTCCTGTGGATGAAAATGCTGTTCATGTTCTTGTTGATAACAATGGGCAAGGTCTAGGACAGGCATTGGTTCAGTTTAAAAATGAAGATGATGCACGTAAGTCTGAACGCTTACACCGTAAAAAACTTAATGGGAGAGAAGCTTTTGTTCATGTAGTTACTCTAGAAGATATGAGAGAGATTGAGAAAAATCCCCCTGCTCAAGGCAAAAAGGGGTTAAAGATGCCTGTGCCAGGTAATCCTGCAGTTCCAGGAGTGCCCAATGCAGGAGTGCCCGGTGCAGGAGTGCCCGGTGCAGGAGTGCCTGGTTCTGGAGTGCCCGGTGCAGGAGTGCCCGGTGCAGGAGTGCCCGGTGCAGGAGTGCCCGGTTCTGGAGTGCCCGGGGCTGGAGTGCCCGGTGCTGGAGTGCCCGGTGCTGGAGTGCCTGGGGCAGGAATGCCCGGTGCTGGAATGCCTGGCGCCGGAATGCCCGGCGCTGGAGTGCCGGGCTCTGTGATGCCGGGCGCTGCCATGCCCGGCGCTGCCTTGCCTGGCGCTGTGATGCCTGGTGCTGCAATGTCTGGTGCTGGGATCCCTGGTGCTGGGATGCCTGGCCCGGGGATGCCCGGCCCAGGGATGCCTGGTGTGGGGATACCTGGTGCAGGGATTCCTGGTGCAGGAGGTGAAGAGCATGCCTTCCTGACCGTAGGATCTAAGGAAGCCAATAATGGGCCTCCATTTAACTTTCCTGGTAATTTTGGTGGGTCAAATGCCTTTGGACCACCACTCCCTCCTCCAGGATTAGGAGGAGCCTTTGGTGATGTTAGGCCTGGTATGCCTTCAGTTGGAAATAGTGGTTTGCCGGGTTTAGGACTGGATGTTCCAGGTTTTGGTGGTGGACCAAATAGTATAAGTGGGCCAGGATTTGGAGGGGGCCCTCAGAATTTTGGAAATGGTCCTGGTGGCTTAGGTGGCCCTCCTGGCTTTGGAAGTGGCCCTCCTGGTCTTGGGAGTGCCCCTGGGCATTTGAGTGGACCACCAGCTTTTGGGCCTGGGCCTGGCCCTGGGCCAATCCATATTGGTGGTCCCCCTGGCTTTGGATCTAGTTCTGGAAAACCAGGACCAACAGTAATTAAAGTGCAGAATATGCCCTTCACTGTGTCTATTGATGAGATCCTAGATTTCTTTTATGGCTATCAAGTGATTCCAGGCTCAGTATGTTTAAAATACAATGAAAAAGGTATGCCCACAGGTGAAGCCATGGTGGCCTTCGAATCTCGTGATGAAGCCACGGCTGCTGTCTTTGATTTAAATGACAGACCTATTGGCTCAAGGAAAGTAAAACTTGTATTAGGGTAGCTGTTCACATCAGTTCTTTATAGGGTAGCTTCATAGTGCTGTGATTAAATGCATCCAGATTGTTTCCTAGTATTTCCAGGTTAGAACCTGTGGATTGATTCAATTGCATATAGATCGGTTTTCATAACATAGAGCATTGGTTGACAGAAGACTCATTCATTATAAGGATAAACATTGCTGTATGTTACAGTAAAGCTATCTGGAGGGAACACAAAAATGATTTTGGTATGCCATTAGAGAAACCATTTGTAAAACTCAAATGACCATATAACGCTTATCAAGGAGTCTAGATTGGTTTTGTTTTATATCAGATGAGATGAAGAAAATAGAAATGTCAGTAATAGAGCTCATAGTGCTCTTGCCAGCTGCTGAAAAATAGAAGTTGGCTACTATTGGAATTTGGTTTCAAGCTGGACGGATTTGCTTTGTTATAGGGTCAAAGCTTTGTCTAAAGTCCTTATTTTCTTTTCAAATTAAATAAAATCTCTGTATTCAGATTCACTGTATGTACCTTTATTGCTTCTTGAGGGTTCTTGCTGTATAGTCAGTCATGCTTCTGAAGTTGCTGCTTTGTTTGCCTAATTGACTCATTTGTAAATGAGCAGACTGTTTTGTTGTTTTAATATAAAACTCCAGGTGTTTGGTTTGTGCTATGACCTTGAATTTTTGTTTCTTATGTCACACTTAAAACTGTGTGAAAATACTCTCGCCACAAAAATAAAATATGTAGTCCTCTACCTACCAGAGCCTTTTTGGTTTGACCGCCAAGTTTTAGTTTAGTCAGTTTAAAAATAATTTTTTTTGAATGACATCAAAACTCAGAAGCCACTTTTTAATAATCACTGTTTACAATCCTTTGTTTGAAGTTCTGTCCATGGTAGGTTGATGTTCTGGCAGTCACCTTTTGTCCCAAATTCATGTGAAATTTTGACCTGTAACTAAACAGAGCCCATTCATAAGAAAGAGCATTATTATATCTTGAGCTTTAAAGTTAAAACTCTTAGTTCTGTTAGAAATTACAGAATCAAAGGATCCATAGGCTGATCGGTAGATTGAAAAGCTTTCCTGTTCCTTGGAGGCTTTGGTCTGGTTGTTTGATCAGTAGCCGGTTTACAAAAGATCTTCATATAGAGTACAAGCATAGCTGCAGATGGGAGAGAATTGATTCTCCTTGCCCTTTCACACTTTTCTGTGGCACTCAGGACACTAAGCCAGAAGGACCTGTTTGGGGGTGGAGAGTTCTGGTTGATAAGTGTCCTGTAATAAAAACATTTGCCTGCTATAAAAGGCTCTGCTTAAGATCACTTACTAGTTAAGATGCTCTAAAGTATATTACAATATAAACATGGAGTGGGAAATTGGAGGGTGATCATGAAAAACAAATTTTATCTTTCACATGGGTCTCTGTCTTGGTTTGAAACATTCCCAACATTTCCTACAAATCAGTGAACTTACAAAGGGGACTTCCTCTTAAAAAACAGATACTCCCTATATTTGAAAAAAAACTTAGTGCCTTTTGGATGTTGCAAGTCGTGGGACACTGAAGTAGAATGGCATTAGAGTTAAGAGTGGCAAAAGTTTCATTTGTGTGGTAAGATTTGGAAAGCCTTTTATCACTACAATCTTAGAGTACTGATAGCACAGGATATTTTGTTTAAGGAGTGTTTTGGCTCTCAAAAGAAGACAAGGCTGTGTTGTAGATCTTTTGATAATTCACAAATTCTTGCTTTGACAGATCATAGATGATGCCGCCTCAACTAAAAAAGCAATATAATATTTGTATATGCTGTTATTTTAAGTTTTCTGTTAAGTAATCATTTCTCATTCCAAAGACAAGAGTACAAAAACTTCAGCACTGCTTGGGAGTCTTTATTTCGACTGCAGATTTAATTTTTCCCATTGGAAAGATATTTTCATTTTAGAAAAATGGGTTGAAACTCAGTCTTTTCACAATTTATTTTGGTTATACGTTCGTACATTCAAATTAATATTTCATAAAGTTTATTACAACTACTTTGTTATTTCTACCACATCTTAGAAAAATAATGAAAAGGATAAGTTGGTTTTATTGTTCATCAGATTAAATAAATTAAAAAACAGTGGATTGTGTAGAAATTGGAGAGAACTATGTTTCATATTTGGTTGAATCACAACAGTGTTTTTCTTGTTGTGAAATGTAATTAAATGCTTTGCCCTCTGGAACTTGATTTTGTATCTCAGACTTATTAACAGTGGTAACTGCTAAGCATACTGTTCACCCTCTTTTGGGCATTGGAGTTTGAGTTAAAAATTTTTCAATATGTTCTGTGAAATATACCTCTGCAGATTTTCACTTAAGAAAATAGATTTGGTTGAAAATTTATTTTCCTATTTGATTTGTATAGTATGAAGGATATGTAAAGCTTTGCTAAAAGTTATGTGCATTTGTAAACCCTATCATGATATTTTCAAATTGATGTAAATTTTATTGTGTTTTTGGCAACTGGCGACTGACATTAATGGAAGAGAATCTTTTTCATTAGGTTTAATTTTTTCCTTGTCTCCACCCCCGGTTTTGTTTTATTTTAAAGGATTATAGAAATCTGCAAAATGTATTTTATAAATAAGCACATTTGTAAACTTATGAACTTTAGTGAAATATTTAGTTTATAAGCAACATTTAGAGGTGTGTTTATTGTTTACACTGTAGTTTGGATATACAATCACCAGGGGCTCCCCCCCCCCCCAATGCAACATTGCTAAGAGTGAAATAGAGTTTCTAGCTTTGTAGTTCAAGTTGTCAAAAGCACCAACAATGAATATTACATCAGGAAACTTTTAGTTCACAATATCAGAGTAATGTGTTGTGCAATTAGGCCTATCTTATCTCAGCTGGATCAAAATCTATGTTTATTAAACTAAGCAACTAAGCATACATACATTTTGTGTGGAAACAACCTTGCATGAGTGTGGGGCCACAACAATAGTGCATAGGGTTAGGGCACTTGCCTCAAACGGGACCAACCTGGGTTTCATCCCTAGCACCACATAATAATCTCCCAAGTCTCTCTGGAAGTGATCTGTGAGTGCAGAGCCAAGAGTATGTCCTGAATACCATCAGGTGTGGCTCAAAAAAAAAAAAAATCAAAACAGTAATGCCCAAGAGCCCTAATCAAAAACCCCCTACTGGATTTTGTCATTGTTTACAGGTGTGAGCCAAGTGTTTAAAATCCACTCATCACTTTGAAGAACACTAAAAATCAAGTAAAGAAACTAAAAATTGCTACTGGCCAAATCCTTCACTAAGAATTTCTGGCAGTATTTCCTTTTAACAGTCATTTCCCATTCTTGAAAAAATTGCCAGATTTAATTGTTTTTTTACTGGCTGTTATACAGTAATACAAACTCTAAAGACCAAACACAATAAAGCATTGCCAGTATGACCACAGTTTTGCCAGCAGATACTGCCTTGGCATTATTCAGCAGAAGTTTTAGCTATAAAGGTGAGGTCTTGAATATCTCTCAATAAACTTACATAAAACAAAACAGGCTGATGCTTTTAAATGTTTCAACTGCACCAGAATACTGAGTTCTAATTCTTGGTAATCTTTGTTTTTAAACTTCTAAAACTGTTTTGTGCCTTTGGAAAGGTGGATTTGGTGATTTGGAGATAACAGTTGCTGCTTAAAACATTGTCTGCTAATGCTTAAATATGGAAAGAAGATACGTGGATCAGCAGGGAGCAAACTTGATTCTAGGTCAAACCTGTAATACCCACCTTTTTCAGACAAAAATATTACATGTATATTGTTGACAAGCCATTTAGTTACGTGGATTCAGAAAAAAGCAAACAAGATTCACTTTTTCATAGTCTTAAAAGGCACTTTGAAATGCTCTTTTAAAAAACAGTTGCTTTCGAAAGTGGGGAAATATATTACTAGGGTACATTGATAATCACATGGTACCTGTTAAACTTAGTTTTTCCATTTTACTTTTTTCTTGTGTTGGATTAGTATGTGAGGTATAAAAGATGTAGAAGGGGATAGAAGAATAAAAATATTGATGCTTTATTACCCTGATGTTTTTGTCACAAATTTATTCAAGTTCTGAGAAAAAAGGTTAAAAATGAAAATTTTCCATGAACTCATTCTTGTTTAAAAATCTAAATTAGAGTTGGAGAGAAATTAGTAGACTGTTCTTTTTAAAACTTTTGGGAAATGCTTATTATATTTATCTGTATCATGTAAAAGGTTTAGCCTGAGTTTGCCTATCCACTTTGTTTTAGAGGGTTTAGACTAGACGATTAGGATGTAGCTGATGTGTTCTAAATTTACAGTTAACTGGGTATTTGAAAAATTACAGGGTAAAATCAAATCTACCATAGAGTCTACCCAGAATGTTCTTTACCCTGTTAAAGTGGTGGGCTCTGCTAATACTGTATCTTTTGTAGCTCAGAGGAGATCACTCCTGTAATTGTGTATTTTTCTGCATTTTAATTTATCGGTTATTTTTCAATGCCTTTTCTACTTGACTCTCAGAGTTGAGCTTTTGTGACCTGTGGTAGAATCCATAATGGGAATTTTATTTTAAAAAATTCTTTGATTTCAGTTTTATCTTTAGCATAAAGTCATAACACATGAATTTACTATAAAATATTCCCAGAATATTTTGCCTACAATATTTTACAATATACTGTGCAGTCATCTGTGTTGATGGCACAATTTTCCAATGATGTGGTGACTTATGAAAAATGCACCTTAAACAAAACACACGTCTTATTGGTGCCTGTTCATATAAATATTACTTGACTGCTGCTCCTGTATTTGCTCTTGATGACTAGAATACTTTGTACCTAGAGAATCTCACCAGTATCTGGTTCAAAACGTGACTCCTGGAGCCAGAGCTATAGTACAGCAGTAGTACATTTGCCTTGCACGTGGCCGACCCAGGTTTAATCCCCACCATCCCATGTGGTCCCTCAAGAACCGCCAAGAGTAACCCCTGAGCATCGCTGGGTGGCACCAAAAAAGTTTTTAAAAATGTGACTCCTTTTTCTGGATCAAGATAACTAGCAGTGAGCAATTAGTGTGACCATTTTTTTATTGAAGAAACTATGGGGCCAAAACATCATCTGATCATATGCAGACATTCCAGGGCCAGGCATGGAGGCAGCACTAAAATCTAGGTTGTAGGTGGTGCTCTGTAAAATCTCTTTATCAGTATTCCTTAAATTCTGTCCACAGGCCCAGACCGTAGTCCAGTAAAAAATGTTGATTAAGCCGTCAAGACAAACCCATCTGAGCATTGGAGTTGACATCTCAGTTCTGGATGTCTGGACTTGACTATAGAGATTTTGTAGTTGGAGGTCATTCTTCCTTACCAATAGATGGCTTGGCTGTTTCATGTTGAGAGGGAGAGGTAACTCTCAGGGGAAATAGGAGCCATGGCCATCAGAACATGGTTCAGTGTGAACAAAGTCAAGGCAATAATGCTTTCTGGGCAAAAACTATGTAGGCTGCTCTTAAGTGTTTCATTACTTCTCCAGTTTGCTGCCAGTTTCTCGTTTTACCCACTTATATATTCTGCTTTTAACTGGGTCTATGAAATTAGTACGGTGGGTTAGAGAGTGGTGGTAATCAAATCTGGAAATGTTACCCATCGTTGC